TAATACAAGATACTCTAATATCACTAAAGATTACCAATATAACCTCAACAACCTTATTAAATATTCTTCTAAATTTTACACTTAACATGCCAAATCCTCAATTCAAACACATCTTACACATTATTACAGGAACCTTCTCGTCTATTATTTATGAAAATATCAAAACACTTATAAACAAACAAACTGATGCCCTTCTACTTCAGCTTTCAAATAATCTATTAAACTGGTTTCATCAAGATCTTTGGTCTATTTGCAACACATATCAACATCAATGGGAAATATCTCGAAACATTACATCAAAATCCAAATACACTAAAATTTACTTATCAACATTACCAAATTCTTCAAATAATACAACAATCTCTTCTCAAACTATAAATTCTAACTCCTTTATTATTAAATGGCTCATACAAGGCTTTTCACTAACTTTTTGTATTTAATAATGTTCAGACAATTACTTAAAGGTCTTCACCAACCTATCCTAGCTAGAACCTAATTTGAAATAGTTAGCTATAGCATTCACAGGAAATAGAGAGTGTAATGTCACATTGGGTGCCAATTTGTAGCACAAATGTAGTTTAGAAATCTTTAATTTTAGAACTTATAATTCTATATGTAAAAAGTTTCTACTTGAACATTATACAAATAAAAAAAAAAAAAAAAAAAAAAAAAAAAAATAGATTAGATTAAAGATAAGACTCGAAAGCCATTTTACTAAAAATAATTTAGTTCATAGATAAGACTCTTAAAGCCATTTTACTATGACTCATAAAAAAGTTCAAGTCGAAGATATAACTCATGAAAACCAATTTACTAAAATAGTTTAATTCATAGATATGACTCACAAAAGCCAATTTACTAAAAGCAGTTTAATTCAAAGATATGGCTTACGAAAGCCAGTTTAATTCAAAGATATAACTCATGAAAACAATTTGCTAAAAATAGTTTAATTCAAAGATATGATTCATAAAAGCCAATTTACTAAAAATAGTTTAATTTGAAGATATGACTCACAAAGCCTATTTACTAAAAATAGTTTAATTCAAAGATATAACTCATGAAAGCCAATTTACTAAAAATAGTTTAATTTGAAGATATAACTCATGAAAGCCAATTTACTAAAAATAGTTTAATTCAAAGATATGACTTATGAAAGCCAATCTACTAAAAATAGTTTAATTTGAAGATATGACTCATGAAAGCCAATTTACTAAAAATAATTTATTTTAAAAAAAAATTTATATACAAAATATATTTACAATTCAAAAAAAAATTAAAACTATATAATTGTTGTAATCTTATTACGAAGTAATTTGTTATTATTCTCTATTATAGAAATAAGATGATCATTATTTTTTTCTATCATACCAATAATCTTATTGTACATATCAAAATATTTGTTATACAAATCATTTTTTTTTGCTTCTAAAATCGATATTTTATTTTGAAAAGCAAAATATAAACATACTACAATAATCAAAGAAAACAAAAGAATCCAAAACATTCTTTTATACTATTTTAAATCTCTTGTTGCTTGATTTATGTAAGTATCAGTTATTGTAGATTCTAAAATAGTATAAATAAAAATTAAACTTTATTCAAGAACAATCGATAAAAAAATTCATTTACCTAAAGAAACTGGATATTCATCTGAAGAAGAATAAAGTTCTTCTTGGTTTGGTGAAATGCATCTGCTTGATGTATGATACAAAGAACCAGAAGCAACAGCAGCACAAGAATTGTTGTATGAAGACATTATTGTATAAATTTTTTGAAATTTTTTTTTCATTATCAGAAAAACATTCACATTTTTTATATCATTTTCATACCTATGTTGTTTCTTTTAATTTTTCCTTTTTTGTTGGACCCTGTTTTGTTTTTTCAAGAATGATGCATATTGCTCCAACTTTTGTACAGTTTTTACATTTATTATTATCATCAATCACACATCATACTTTGTTTTTTCTACATCTTTCACATGCTACTGATGAACGTTTAGTATTTTTGTTTAGTTTTGTTCATGTTCTACACATTTTTTGTTTAATTTTTAAAATTTTTAAATTTCTACTTTTTATAATTATTACTTATCAATTTAATCTTATTTATTTATATAATATATAATAAAATATAATAATTCTTTATTTAGTAAAAAAAATATACATAATAAAAAATATTAATTAAAATTCATCCCATTCTAATGATTTAACTGAACCAAGTGATTCTAAAGCTTTTTCATAATTTTTATTTGTAGAAATTTCTAATGTTTGTAATTTTTCATAATTAAAAATTACTAATTTAATATTAGGTTTCCCATCAAAACTAGTATTATAATTATTACCAGTTGAAACATAATCTTTAACTTTAATCCAACTAATACAACTCCAAATAATATAAAAATTATTACCACTTTTATATGCACCATTGATATATAATTCAACATCACTTTCTTGAGATTCTCCTTCTTCTGGCCAATAATTATATATATTATAATGTTGGGTTTGAATTTCTTTTGCTAAAACTTTTCTTGCAGGTCGTAAGTGTTCATATAAATTATATTCAGTACCATCGTGAGGATCTTTTAATGACATTTTATTACAAATATTTGCTAAATAACTTTCAATAGCAGATAAATAATCATCCCAAGCTTTAACATTATCTTCATTTGAATTATGATTAACTGCTATAGTTTGTTTAAAAATCTTAGTATATAATGCTCCAGCAGATTTTAATTTAGCTAATGTTTGGTTAGGTTTTTCATCAAATAATCTTTTGATTATTAGATATTTTGATTCAAGTTTATCAATAATCATTTGTTCTTGACAAATAACTTTAGTGATATCAGACATTTTTAAATGTTATCTATATTTTACGTAAAGAAATATGTTAGATTTAAATATCTTTTTTTAACAATATAAATTATTACTGTACTTTTAATTTATTATATTTTATCAAATTAATCTAAATATTTATATAGATACGAAAAAGATATTTAAATCTAACATATTTTCTTTATGTAAAATATAGATAACATTTAAAAATGTCTGCTAAAAACAAATTATTTCTGAATCAACTGATTCTAAATATAATATCAATAATGAAACAATGAATGAAAATTTTGATAATACTAAAGTTATTTGTCAAGAACCTTCTATTAATAAAATATTAAAAAAAAAAACTTCTAATATTACAAAACTTTTTAAAAAAAACCCAATTACTATACTAGAATTCTTCACTGCTAAAAGAAAAAAATATACTTCTAATTTAAACTTTAATATCGACGAAAAAACTTCAAAAGATTTATTTTTCAAAAAAATTAATGAAATTAATAATAATGATAATCAATTATTAAATTTAATTAATTCAAATATTTCTGAAAAATTAAATAACTGTTATAATAATACAGAAAAAAATTTTAAACTTAATGTAAACAACTCTATTAATAATGAAGAAACCTATGTTATTTGGAGTTGTATTAGTTGAATTAAAATTAAAAAAAATAATGAAAATAAATTTAATATATCTGGTTCTATTGATATTAAATTTGTAAGTTTTAATACTAATAATTTAAACGAATTAGAAAATACTGATTATGATAAAGCACTCGAATCTTTTGGTAATTGTAATGAAATTCATTTTGAAAATTTGTAACTCGTATTATACATATTATAAATTATTTATATTATATATTTTATAAATAAAATTTATTATAAATATTAAAAATTTTATTTTTCTGAAATTAAAAAAAAAATGATCAATAAATTACTTGATCAACTAAATAATCTTTGTAAAAAAAATAATCTAAAAAAATTAGAATAGAAGATCCATTTAATTTTTGTAGCTAAAAAACATGCTGAAAAAATTTCTTTAACAAATAAATATGATAAAAACACTAATGTTAAAAACTTTTATGACTATGATATTCAATATTTTAATAAAACAACAGAAAATAAAGTTTTTAATGTGTTAGTAAATAATAAAAATTATAAAAAATTTTATTAAATAAAAACTACAATCATTTTGAAGCATCTTTTAAAAATAAACATTGGGTATTAATTTTTGGACATTTATATGCTAAAGAAAACATAAATATTAATCTTTTACTAGAATATACAAATAATGAAAGAACTAAAATTGGTCTTAAAAAACTTAAATTAAATAAGTAAGTATTTTAATTATATTTTTTTATATAATATATTCTAATATTTTTTTAGTAAATTAACAGAAGCAGCACAAAAATATGCTGAATATCTAGCAAAAAATAAAATTTTTGATCATATTCCTGACGCACAAAAAAAACTTACTGGAATGACATAGAGAGAAAATCTTGGTCTTAATTATGAAAGTAAAAAAAATGCAATTAAAAGTTGGATGGAATCACCTAGCCATAAAGCAAATATTTTAAACAAAGATTATATTTATTTTGGAGCTGGATTTGCTAAAGATATTTGGGTACAAGCTTTTGGAATAGAAAATTAAACATTTTTTTATATACAATAAAATTTATATATATATATTTACATGTAATGCTTTTTTTTTAATTTTAAAAAAAATTAAATAAATAAAGTATGGTTATTTTTATTTTATAATTTTTATAATTTTTATTCTAATCTAATTTTATTTTAGTATGAACAAGAAATTTTTTATTCTATTCTTTTTGTTTTTCTTATGCTTGTCTCTTCTGAGACATTAAGAAGTGGAAAATTAAGTTGTTCGACATGTCATAAACAAGATGTTATTTTGTATAGTTTCAATAAGCAAACTCATATTAGTGTTGGAACACATAAACGTAAAAATCAAAATAAGAGACTCTATAGATGTAGTATCTGTGGTCGTACTGGTCACAACAAATGTATACATCAAAGAAAATAAGATTAAATAAATTATATATATAAAATTTATTATTGTTTATTTATTATATAATACAATTATAGCTAGTTCATAATTAAATAAATAATTTAAATAATAAATAATAAATAT